GTTTTTTGAATCCTGATACTCTATTGAAGAAAAAGATGTAAACATTCACCTAATGGGCTATTGGCACTTCATTTAGCGATACGGCTGCACTGACAAGTGTGGTTGATATCAAAATAACTTCAGGTAGGTCAGCCTAACGATATGTAAAGTTATGAAACTGATGTGAAATAGACTAAGTCTCGCACCATTGAAGACTCCTCTTCTACAGATATAGAATAGTCTGTCGAGTGAATTGTTTCTTGATAAAGGGAACCATTTAGAAATTTAAATACATCCATGAGCAAAGTGAAGCTTTCAAACATATTTCGGTAAGAAAAGACTATTTTTAAATCACGATTTTACTACATTTAACTACACGCTTTTGGACCCTGCTAAGACCCTACGATCAGTCAATTTCGGCCAAATGTTAACCAAGGGTTGACCAATATTGATTCGGACACGCATTACAGTTAATCTAGCCAACAGAATAGGCTTGTACTAGGTGACGTGTGCAGTTGCGCATCTACAGAAAAGACTAAATTGCTAAGGGAGATCCAGGCGAATAATTACCGCGTATTGTTCATTTTCCGACAGATAATCTCCTATAGGGATTTCGACATTTACGGATAAAAAGGACTAGTATGGTCGCTAACATTACACCTTCAAACAATAACCACATAGCCTTCCACAACTACATGATTACAATGACTCTATCCACCTATTAAACCTTGCCCAATGCGAGTCTGTAACCAATCGAATGCACGTCAGATGTTGTATACAACGTCAACCATTAGCATATATCACAATTTACCATTTGCACATTTCGTCAAACAATGTAATCGGAGTTATTTTAATGACTTACATCAGCAAGGTTAGTTTTCACGTGAATTGTCAGAATGTTTCAATACCTTAAACCCGTATTTTCATAGTTCTCGGTTACTAAGTGCTTGTAAGTAGCACACCAATAGACCGACAATTGTTCAAACAATTATTTCTATGACAAGTTAGCTGGAACCATTCTTTTTAATGCTTGCTTCTAAATGTTTTCGAGTGGTCCCATGTTTTATAAGAGTTTCATTTGGGAAAAACAGAGTAACAAGGACATATCAATACAGAAAGCCCGTTTGACATTTGCTAACTAGCATCATCTCTGGCGTTGACGGGTGAGACATCCGACTACCTATCAAAGGATGACTATGCTGCGCTGCAGTGTATTCTGCCTTGTTATGCAGCTGTGAAGATATGTAGGGCATACATGTTCTTGATCATAGGTATCCTCATACCGTTACTCGCCTTTGGTGTAATCACCGTATAAGCAGTGTCTAGGTCACGGGGAGGTTACTAAGCAAGACAGGCAAGTCAGTCGATGAGGTTGTGAACCTCCAGGAAACTGAAGTGGTTTAGATATATGTCGTACGTGCCAAGCTACTACCTATCTCAACGTCCGATGCTAAAAGTTGGATTAGGTTGAGAAACAGCTTAGGATGGCTAGACCAAGACGTGACACCAGTGCGTGAAGTCTCTTACTCTTAGGCTGAGCGATAAAGAGGTGTATGCTACCTGGCTGAAGTCCTCAAGACCACAGGAATCAATGGTTGAGGACTCTGGGTGACACGGGTGAAGATCAGTCACAGCGACACAAATATGCTCCGTCTTTGACATCTTTGAAAGCTTCAATGCTGTGACTAACTTTCATTTTCAAATTCGCTCTTGTTCCATAAACCTGTCTACTTTGATATCAGTCTTTTTCTATACACTTGGTCCTCATATGCTACTGTGAAGTGTGGCAACTTGAACTGATGCACTTGTGTGCGAGGTTTTTCGTTGATTTTGTCTGTTCCTGTCCGTCAATACATTGCAGTGAGTGTCTAACACACCTCAAATGTTAACAGAATTATTGAACTGTGGGAAAACTGGTAAAAGTGATAATTAGCATGATTCGAGGATAAAATAAGCGGGTTAAAGCGCCAGCATGTATCAATATTGCAGTTGGTTCCTCAATCATGTGAAGGGATTTCTTATGTTTTGATAAACATACACCGATCGCCAAATTACTTTGTATTTAAAAACTTTTAGTCGTAGTGAATACTTGTACTATTGCGATCTATGCTTTCAAAGAGTGGATATGTGTAATAATTTTTCGTGTGGTTAACCATGTAAATTTTGATTGGGTACGGTCGAATTTAGGCATACATACACTTGGAAAGATTATTATTTGGACAACGGTTGACGTTGGTCCAAACAGCAGCCTAAACGTAGTTAGCAACTTTAGGTGGCCTAATTTTAACCCAGAACTGCTCCTAAGTTTAGTAATAAACCTAACAGTTCGGTTTGCATATAATGAAGCGAAGTTACATCTTCATAGACGAATTCAGCATAAGAACGGTCCAAGGTTAGAGATTCGTATTATTTCGTATGACTTCACAGCGCCAAAGTCGGGATGCTACTGACTTCACTACTTTCTCTTAATTTATTACTTGGTATCTTTCTGCTTTGACACTCCTGCATTGTTTTCTAACTCTTCTTAATTAGCCATCTACTTATACGTTTAGGGTAAGTCTCATACATATTCCAATTACAATGATATTTCTATTTAAGCTTGCATGCAGACAAATCGTCGCCTACTTCTATGTCCCGTGCTAGGGAAGGTTGGATTAGACTGGAAGAGAGTTCATGGTGGCAGGACATGCACTAGTCGATGAGGTCTTCGACTGTTGGCATGAGGCATATGGGAAAATGTCAACTGTCTGACAGAAGTCCACAAAACGGTAGGAATCAGTGATTGAGAAGTCTCAGTGACATGGTTGGAGGTCGGCCACAGGGGAGATGTTTCCACGCCGTGACAACACGAGCTTTAATATTTGCACTAATGTTAAGTTTCAGATTGTTCATTTACTCACACAGCTTTATCTGCTTTCATAGCACCGTCTTTCTTCCCATTTATTCCTTGTATACTGTTGTGAATTGTGGCAACCTGAGGTCTGTGCGTGGTTTTACGTTGATTTTGTCTGTCTCAATTATACCAACAGGCAGAATGAAAGACTCCCAACTTTTCTAGCTGTATTTCTCGACCTGAAGGCGGCATTTGACTCCGTTGATCGAGAAGTCTTATGGCAGTGTCTGTCACTGAAAGGCGTGCCTAGTAAGTACATCACGTTATTGAAAGCTCTCTACTCGAACACTTGTGGGCATGTTAGAGCCTATGGTGAGTTGTCCAGGGAGCTATACTCATCAACTGGTGTCCGTCAAGGATGCCCACTGTCTCCATTCTTATTTAATTTCATCATAGATATTCTTATGGAGGTTTCCCTCTCGTCACCTAATTACAAAGACGTTGACCGGATCACAGGTGAATTTTCCTTAGATCTAGAATATGCAGATGACATAGTCCTTTTGGGTGAAGACGCTGACAAGATGCAGAGTCTTCTGAACACTTTGAGCGGGAATTTGAGAATGTTTGGGATGCGATTTTCACCACCCAAATGCAAATTTTTGCTCCAGGATTGGTCTTCAGCGGTACCGCGGTTAACAATAGAGAGTGAAGTGGTTGAGTGTGTTGACCACTTCACTTACCTGGGAAGTAGGATCAACCCCGGTGGGTTAGTTGCCGATGAGATTTCGGCACGGATACAAAAGGCTCGATTGGCTTTTGCCAATTTGCGCCACCTATGGCGCCGCCGTGATATTCGTTTGTCTATTAAGGGTCGCGTGTACTGCACAGCAGTCCGCTCTGTTCTACTGTATGGCTGTGAAACATGGCCATTGAAAGTGGAAGACATGAGAAGGTTACAGGTATTTGACCACCGTTGCCTTCGTAGTATAGGACGTATTCCGTGGTGTCACCATGTGAGTAATGCAGAAGTTAGGTGTAGAGTTTTAGGGAGAAGAGGTAAGTCAGTCGACGAGGTTGTGAACCTTCATCGACTGAGATGGTTGGGACACGTACTACGTATGCCTAGTCACCGATTGCCTCGTCACACAATGTTGGCTGAGGTGGGTTCAGGCTGGAAAAAGGCTCGAGGTGGCCAGACTAAAACATGGCACCAATGTATGAAGTCTCTGACTGTTGGTTTAAGCCATGTAGGACGATGCAGACTAGGTGGTTGGGGCCCACGGGACAAGAGGAACCAGTGGTTGGAGACCCTAGGTGATATGGCTCAGAACCGAAGTCAGTGGCGCAGATGTATACACACATTATCCTCATCTTAACAACGCTATACCGAATCTCACCATTTTGTCACTCCTCTTTCCTTTCTTCTCGTGCTTTATATTTCTTTTGACTGCATTCACTTATCTTCATCCTTCACCTCATTACCTTTCTACTTGATGTGCTGATATGAGGTGTGGCAACTCGGACCGTTACGCAGTAATGCCTGGTCCTATGTTGATAATGATGATGATGATGATTTCTAGCGACCCGTAGCTTCCAATGCAATTAGTACAGAAATACTGCTGCTTATCGCTAATAGATGCATTATAATCGTCTAGTATCTGCGCTGCCCAGCCAGCATTTGCTTCGGGCGCACATTATAAATTCTGGGCAAAAACCCGAAAATTTTATTTCGGTAGCAGACGGGGAGATGCACAATATTCAAAGTGCGCCTAGATTGTGCGCAATGAGCCTACACTTTATAAAGTGTAGGCAGTGCGCTCTAAGTTTTGAAATAACCTATATTCACAGTCCTGAGAAGCCATATTTGGCAATATCATTATATGTATCATTCACGTTTCATCGCTACGTGTTTGCGTAATACAAACCAATGAGATACGGAACGGCCAGCGGAAATAGTTGAAAAAGTTAGGGGGCACCCGAAATTTAGTTAGTGCGCCTGAAGTTGTGTAAATAATTATTTACATAATTTATGCATTCAAGCTGCGAAAATAATTGGAATTCTGGATTCCCAAGTAAATTAAATCAGGAGAAAGTCAAATAGTTGCCATGTGAAATCAAGCAAGACAAAAAGAAACGGACGTAATGTTAGTAAACATGCATCATGTCCACAATCTGTGGACGTACCAACCTTGAGCTTGAAAAATCCACCCTCTACGGAATACAATATACAATGGTATCCAATAGTACAATTGTTTGTTGTTGGAATAGAAGCTTTTGTTTAGTTGATTTTTGTGTCAAGATTCCGTTAACAATTAGTTTCTATGGTTGGTTACCTGTGTTAAACTAAAGAGAGGGTTAACATTTGCGACTTAAGTTTGAAAATTTAGTTTATTCTGAGATTTCACCCACTTCTCGATTAAGTATCAAGCTACAGTTAATGTGATTCAGGTGAAGCAGCCTGTGTCACTTCCTCAGGGAGCGCATTGCAAGGTTTAGTGACCCAGAGTGAGTAAAGTTCGTGTCTGATATCTAACAGTCATTATTCATATGTTTTAGAGCCGAGTAGTCGAACGGATAAGATCAAAAGTCTCTGGATGCAATCTAGGCCTAATTTGTCTTCCTCCAAAGAACGGAAAAGACAAAACTCTGGAACAACAGGTGAGGTCGTATGTAGCTGTTGAAAATTTGGTGGAAGCATTTTCGATCCGACTGTCTAACGGTTACCAACTCCAGGTCCCCATAAAATGGTTTAGGATTTGTCCTGCTGCGAATTTGACAGACGCAAAGACCATTCACTAATTATTCGAAGTTGTTATACAACCACGAATACGAGACCAAGGAAGAACACAATAGCGTAGTCGGATGGAATAGTATATTTGGATGGTTGTGCCAAAATACCTATGCGTTCCAACTAACTGGCTAGAGAGTCGAATACGAGCAATGCAACGTAACACGACAGCGTTCCAAATGGCGAGGATGCTTGACCGGGTGCCTTCAGCTTAGCGAGTCCAGTTAAACTATCAAGGTCAGCATCAATGTCGAAAGTCGTCAAACCGTAGGCTATTGATTTTGGGGAAATGTGTGACGCTATGGATCACTCCTCCCCTAGTGGGTTCGTGAGGACCCTAAGACGATACCAGCCGGAAGTAAAAACCCAGTGGTTTCGCCACTGGTAAAACTCTTCCGATGGGCTCACTGCGTGAGGTGGCCCCTGGTCGTCTGAACCTTATTCTAGGGTGTCGTGGCAATTAAATAATAAAATACAATAAATGAAATTGTACGTCGAACGCGGTCCTCAGTTCCTTTTGACGTTCCGTTCAGTGCTCGTTGCGCCTGGAATATAAATAAAAGTCTTTAATACCACGAAAACGTTTCTTAAAAATTGGAATTATTTATATATAAACAAATCGAAAATAAAAAAATTTAAGCCTATTTTCACCTTTTTTTAAAAATTTCATTATATGATAATTCGGGCCAGAAAAAAGCCAAAAGGGCTTTTATTGTGTCGCGTGACTTTACACTTTTGACAAGCTAAGCACGACTGGGCCCACTCCTTAACGTCTTTGTTCATCCCAGGCCAGCAGAAACGTTGTGCGATAAGCCTAATGGTGGCTCGTACACCTGGATGAGAGAGTTTGTGCAACGTATTGAAGACGTTGCGTCGACAACTCTTCGGAACTATTGGGCGTGGTTGACTAGCAGAGACATCGCACAAAATTGCATCCTTGTCTGATCCAACAGGACAAAGTCGCAGTTTGAGAGTTGTGGACGACAACTCATGATGCAGCTCAAGGTCTTCCTTTTGACGCCGAGCTAGTTCAACGAGATCAATACCCTCGATATAGTTTATCGAAGCTATTCGAGATAGTGCGTCGGCTGCGGAGTTGTTTGCTCCAGAAATGTGGCGGATGTCTGACGTGAACTGGGAAATGTAATCCAGCTGTCGCGACTCACGAGGGGAGTATTTGTCAGACGCCGAGCTGAGGGAAAACGTTAACGGTTTGTGGTCTGTGAAAATAATGAAATCACGACCTTCCACAGAATGTCGAAAATGGCGTACAGAACAGTACATGGCTAGGAGTTCCCTACCAAATGTACTGTATCTTGTTTCCGCGTCTTGCAGCCGCCTCGAGAAAAAGGCTAACGGTTGCCACTGGTTGTCAGTCAACTGTTGCAAAACTGCTCCAATTGCTGAATCAGATGCATCAACAGCAATACTCAGAGGAGCATTGGGGTCATGATGCATAAGCATGGTTGCGTTCGAAATGGCTTCCTTGACTTTGGAGAAAGCAAGTCTAGCCGCGTTGTCCAGAGACACGAACTTCGCAGTTCCTCGAAGTAGATCTGTGAGTGGTCTCATGACAGAGGCACAGTTAGGGATAAACCTTCGGTAATAACTTACCAGGCCATTGAAAGTGCGGAGATGTTTCACAGTGGTCGGCTCTGGATAGTTTGTGATAGCCGCCACTTTATCTCTCAATGGGCGTATACCTTTGTTGTCAATGGTATGCCCAAGGAAGCTGAGTGATTCAACTCCTATTTCACACTTCTGTAAGTTAACTGTGATGCCATGTTTTTTGAGTCTTTCGAATGCGAGGTCCAAATGTTTAAGGTGTGTTTCCTTATCTGGACTCGCAATTAGACAGTCATCTATGTAGACATGAACAAAATTCAGACCACGGAAGACGTCGTCCATAAAGCGTTGGAATGTTTGTGCTGCATTCCGAAGACCAAAAGGCATGCGCAGGAATTCAAACAGGCCAAAAGGAGTAATAATGGCTGTTTTCGCGATATCTTCTGCTGCCATAGGTATCTGGTTGTACGCTTTGACCAAGTCGATTTTCGAGAAAATGTTCATGCCGCATAAGGTTGCGGTCAAGTCGTAAACGTGGGTATAGGGTAGCAGTCCGGAGTTGTTTTGGCGTTAAGCCTTCGGTAATCACCGGTCGGACGCCAGTCGTTGCTATCCTTTTTGGGCACCATGTGCAATGGCGATGCCCAAGGACTGTTTGACGGTCTGATAATGCCCAGTTCGAGCATATGGTCGAATTCATTTTTCGCCGTTTGCAGCTTATCGGGGGCTAAACGGCGCGCTTTGGATGCCACAGGTGGACCTGTGGTTGTGACGTGATGCATAACATTGCTGGTTATGCACGGAAGAGTGTGTTTCGGTTGTTGTAACTCTGGATATTTCTCCAGAACTGCCTGGTAGGACGCGTCGCCTGATTGTTTAGTCCTAACGATGGCTAAACTCGGACCTACATAGGTGGTGCCGCCAATAGATAACTTTGTGTTGTTATCTATCAGTCGTCGACGGCGAGCATCTACGAGTAGATCGTAATGGTTCAGCAAATCTATGCCAATGATGGGCATAGAGACGTCTGCCAGGAGGAAATCCAGTGAATAGGTTTGCGTAAACCTAAGTTGAGGTAGGCATACCGTCTCCCGAATGTCGCGATTGCCTTGCCGTTGGCTGCTTGAAGATTGAAGGATGGGTCGAGATGACGCTCCTTTGTCGTTGCTGGAAGAACGCTAACTTCTGCGCCGGTGTCGACGAGGTAGCGGACTTTCGTTTTAATGTCGGTGACGTAGAGCAAACGGCTTTTTCCGCCGGCTACGGTTGCCGTGAGCACGTGCCGGCGTGACCGTTTCCCGAGTTTGTCCTTCTTAAAACGGCATGGTTTACGACATTTTCTGGCTTCATCCCCGTAAGTGTTATGAAACCAGCACCATTCAGGGTTTTCCACCCTGTTGGGTTTCGTTTTAGGGCTACCACGCGACTTGCTGCGATGCGCCAAGGTGCGTTTCTGTGAAGTGCTACGTGATCTAGGACTTCGAGATCGTAGCAACCGTTTCACAGAGTTGCACAACTTGGTCACCTCCGAATCCTGGCGCTCTGTTTTGTCACAGATAGAATATACGTTGGAGACGGGTCTGCTGGATATCTCCAGTATTTTATCTGCTGAAGCTGCCAGGTCGTCGAGTGGGACTGACTGGAGTGTCACCAACACGGTTTGCACCGGTTGTGGTAGTTTCGAGAGAAATAGTTCTCGGAAGAAACCATCGTCAAATGTTCGTGCACCGATTACTTCTCGCATGCGTGCGAGGACTTCAGTAGCTGAGTGGCTGCCTAGCTCGATGTTACGAAGCAATTCGTCTAGACGTTGGCGATCTGTGAGATCGCTTTTCTTCAAGAGTGCGGCCTTTAGAAGTGCATAAGGGTCACTTACTTCAGGATTAAACATGTTTGCTGTAACAACCTGTTTAATTCTCGCGGTAGTGAACGTATGACAGCAAGAAATCGAGATGAGGATCTGAGACACCCTGTTCTCGAAAATCGGCCTCGGCATACAGAAACCATGTTTCTGCATTGTCTGGCCAATATGGCACGAGTTGGATCGTGTTCGAGGTCGGCTTAATACGAATAAGCTTGGGAGTGTGGTCGGACATGAGAAAGTGTAGTAAATGGATATATAAATGTTATCGAAATGAAAACAATAAACAAATATAAAATGGAACAGGCTCACCAATTCAATACTTGTTATTGATCGGGATATGTGATCACGTCGGGCTCACCAATTTAGGATTTGTCCTGGTGCGAACTTGACAGACGCAAAGACCAATCACTAATTATTCGAACTTGTTATATACCCACGAATACGAGACCAAGGAAGAACACGATAGCGTAGTCGGATGGAATAGTATATTTGGATGGTTATGCCAAAATACCGATGCGTTCCAACTAACTGGCTAGAGAGTCGAATACGAGCAATGCAACGTAACACGACAGCGTGCCAAATGGCGAGGATGCTTGACCGGGTGCCTTCAGCTTAGCGAGTCCAGTTAAACTATCAAGGTCAGCATCAATGTCGAAAGTCGTCAAACCCTAGGCTATTGATTTTGGGGAAGTGTGTGGCGCTACAATGGGTTTTGTCACGGTTTGCGTGGAAACTGCAAGTCCTAGGGGGCTGAAATGCCCAACCCTTCCTCTTTCAGTGACTCCTCAAGTTCCATGCCTTCGAGGCCATATGCGTAAGCAGCATCATGTTATACGCGTACAACCTTACCTCTTTCAGGGTTAAAGTCCAACCTTCTTATGAACTTCCTAGTTTCCAAGTTGCGTTAAGTCTTGCTAAAGGTAAACGCTATCATCCTCACCTTTTTCTATACACAGTTTCAAAGATTTGTAAAAAAATAAGAATTTTTACGTACTAG